GAGGGGGTGTCTTGTCAGGGTCCCCCCCCCCCAAGAGCAGCCTTATATTTTAATTTTTTAATTATTATTATTATTTTTAGCCCCGTACTGAGAGGAAAACAAATAAAATCCGCGCTGGGTGGATTTTTTCACCACAGAGGGTGGTGATCTGGGTTTGCAGCTGAGAGACCCCGGGGTGTGTTGAGCCTGGATGGAGAAGGCTGAGAGGGGATGGTTGATAAAAAAAATATCCACAGGGTTGGGTGTCAAGAAGATGGGGCCAGGCCGCTCTCGCAGGATGAGGGGTGGGCACAAAACTGGAACACAGCTCCGTCCGTTACGTTAGCAAAGATTTAGTCGCTTTTGAGAGACACAGAGCGCTGGAACAGCTGCCCGGAGAGGCTGTGGAGCCTCCTTCTCTGGAGACGTTCAGGAGCTGCCTGGGTGTGATCCTGGGCTGCCTGCTCTACGTGAACGTGCTAGAGCAGGTGGGTTGGATGAGCTGATCTGAGGTCCCTTCCAACCCCACCGTTCTGTGATCGTCACCCCCTAAGGGACAGCAGGCATTGGAGAAACCTCAGCGGTCCCGTTGATTTCCGCACGAGGATGCGTTGCACGACGATGTCAGACACGCTTCTGAGGGCTTGAAACAAGGAGAAAAATCCACGTGGCTTGCAGTGGAATGCCCAGCCAAAGGAGGCCTTCTCAAAGTCGATGAGCTGAAGCATTGAGGAGCTCTCAAAGCATCTCCCCCTATCCTGAAGAAGCAGCCGAAAACCTCCCGTGGGGCCGTCCCAGGAGTTAGGAGCTGCTGGCCAAATGGAACGTTGGACAAAACCAGGAAGCTGCGGGTTTGTAGATGTTAAATGTGCCATGGTGCTTCTGACAAGATGTTAATCAATGTCTGTGCTGTTCAGCAAAAAACCACACCTGAGCTGCCATGTGTTGCTGCTGCTGCTTGAACCACCCCTTTCAGCAGCTGGAGACCATCTCCCCCTGCCCCACGCTGACCAAGTGATAAACACCAAGTAAAAAAAAGATCTCTGGAGCACTTCCAAAGCAAATACAGACACTGTATGAATTTATTCATTATGCCATTTCCACCCAGCTTTTCTTCTCTGCAATTATCCCTCCCCATCCATTGCTTCCCCAGTGACCTGCTGATGAGGCATCCAGCACAGTGGAGCAGAGAAAGCAGGGAGCTGGAGTTCCTGCCCTCCCTGCCTGCAATATCCTGACTCTGGGCAGGCCACAAGACTCCAATAAACCAGGAATCTGTGAAAAAACAAGAGCAGCACCTCCCCAGCCAGCTCCTCAGGTCCCTCCGGCTGCTCCTCCACACCAGAGACAAGGCATCCCTGAGCTCAGCACTGCCCCGTTCACAGGAAAGTGCCTTGTCTTGCTCCAGTATGATTTCTAGCCAGGTGCTGGTTTCTCTAATACTATCAGTGACTTTAAAACACTTTAAAAGTGTATGTTGCAGAGGTTCCCACCAACGTCTCCACAGGCTGCACAGCATGAAAAGAAAAAGCTCTTACGCTTGCTTTTTGCTGTGGAAAACTAGGGAGCCATTAAGGAACAAGCTCTTCTGGTGATTTTGAGTCAACAGCTCAAACCCTGCAATGGCCTCCATGCCTTGTACCCAGACAGGAAGGTTCATGGCTGAGCTGGGACCAGCTAGTTTCCCTAC